GCAAGCCGTTTGGGAGGTGGCCCTTCACGTACCCACAGAGGTGGGCATCTCTCCCCACTGCAGCACCACATCCTTGATGATCCGCCCATAAGTGTTGACATAGACACCTTCGTCTTCATAGCACAGCAGCATCTCCATGCCGTCAGTATTGGGGAGGAAGATGATGGCATGGGGTGTGATCTGGCTCTGGATCTAGGGAGAAGAGGAGGCTGGGTGGGATCCCCATGTCTGATGTCCAGAATGGGTGGTCCCACATTGCCCAACAGCCCCGCTAAGCTCACGTGTACAGGGATGTAGATGTCATAGCTGTTCCCAGAGTCAACATCCACAGCATGGAAGCCAGCACTGGAGCCATAGATGACCTTGAGCCGCTGCCCCTCCTCTACTGTCAGGTCCACCAGCAGCGGGCGGTGAGGGAGGTCAGCAAAGGACTGTGGAAGAGAGTGGGTCAGGGAAGACAGGTGCTGGGGCAGAACCTTGGAATGCACTAAAGGCCGAGGCTGACACTACCTTGAAGGCCATGAATTTGTGGTAGGGTTTGGGAGCCCAGGCATACACTTCCACGGAGTTCTTCAGGGCAATGACCAGGAACTTAATACGCTCATATTTCACTGGGAGCAGAAAAGAGAAGGAGGCAGTGACTTCCGCTGTCAGGCTTTGATGACCTCTGTATTTAGCCCAGACCTCGTTTCTCCCTGGCTACTGTGTTGTGGCACCCTCACCAACACGATAGTGGCCACAGCCCTCCATGTCTCCCACGGTGGTCCACCCTTGCTTCTTCTCCACCTCTGGGTCATTGTGCAGAATCTTATTCCGCAGCCAGGACAGGTAATATACCCGAAGTTTGTTCCTTTTCCCTGAGAGATGGACATACACACACACAAAACTCACTCAATTCTCATTGAAGGCCCCACTGCTGCTTCCCACAATGCTGTTCACACACCACAGGGAACGGCCAAGGCCACTATCCTCCCAGGCTGAAGATGACAAAGCCAGAGTTGAGACCCTTGTCCCCAAACTCCACGCACGAACCTGAGATGGTGATGAGCAAGTTGAGCCCTTCCAGCACATCCATCTGCTGGAAGCGCCGCCGCCCAATGAGGCCATACACTTTGCCCTGTCCACTTCTGTCCAGCAACATGAGCCCATTCTCCGTGCCCACCAGGAGGTTGACCCCTGCAATGGAGCCCTTGGACAAGTCAGAGCAGACCCAGGCTCTCCCCCATCAGGCTCATGAAGGGGGCTGTGCCCAGACCCCATCCAGCCTTTTCAGCCTGCCTGGCTTACCCCAGAGGGCTGCACAGAGGATCTCCGAATTGAATCGCTTCTTGTACTTCCGAATCTCGGGAGTCTCGCTGTGAGCCCGGGTGTTGGTGGGATTAACGTTGACCACAGAGCCCTTCCTTACATCGAACTGCAGCTGATCCAGACGACCGCCCTCTCCACCTACCAGGGCTGCCAAGATGAAGAGGAAGGGGGTGTGGGCTGCAGCCCTCTAGTGTCTCTTTTATTCCTAAACCCCTACATCTGATGTTGGCATTTCAGAATTCTCAGAAGGGGAAGGGGGAGACTTCAGAACAGAGGTGCACGAAGAAATAAAACAACAACAACAAAAACAAACAAAAAAGAACAACCTGGCCTTGAGGCCAAGGCCTGGCTCAAATCCTACCTTTGTCACTCAACAGTTCAATTTTTGCCCAGATCCCTTAGCCACCCTTAGCAATTGTTCCTCAGAAGCCCTCCTTGTTATCTGTGCCTGGGCAAGAGCTAGGCCTCAAAAAAGAGGCCTGTGCCTATGGAGCACGCCTTTAATCCCAGCACTCAGGAGGCAGAGGCAGGCGGATCTCTGTGAGTTCAATGTCGGCTTGGTCTACAGAGCGAGTTCCAGGACAGCCAGGGCTGTTACACAGAGAAACCCTGTCTTGAAACCCTCCCCCTCAAAAATTTTTTTCTTTAATTCTTATTTTCTTTTCTCTGTGTGCAGGTATCCATGGAGGCCAGAAGAGGCATCGGATTCCCTGGACCTGAAGTTACAGGAGGTTGTGAGGTGTCCGATGTGAATGCTGGGAACCACACTTGGGTTCTCTGGAAGAGTAGCAAGTACTTCTAACCACTGAACTATCTCTTCAGCCCCATACTTAAACTCTGTAAAGCTACATTCCCAAAGGACTCTGTTCAGGCTAGCTCTGGACAATAGCCTCAAGGCAGACAGGCCTTCCTGCCCTCACCTGTGATAGGGATGGTATCCCCACTGCCTCCAGGCTGGTAGATTCCTAGATCCACAAACATGGTGAATGAGCTCTTCCCAGGAGCCTTTACCAACCCACGAGACTGGTACTGTGGGGGGAAAGGGAACAGTCAAGAAACGGGTGTGGTCCTGTCCTTGTATGGGTCAGACCTCAGGTCCCTACTGAGGTTCACAGTGCCTTGCTTCACATGCCACTGTGCTCCCTAACCCCACTCTTCTGCAAATCCCAGGGCTCGTTCTTCAGTCATGGACCTGCTTCAGCACTTACATCGCTGCCTCCATCCTTTGTTGGAGGGCTTTGACCTTTGCTGTTCTCAGTAGGTGAGTGGCTGGGCTGTACCACATCTGGCAGATTTGTGTAGCCATTGCTGTCAGCAAGCAGCAGGCTTCGTTCCTCTTCAGGAGTCTGTAGAACACAGAGAAAGTCAGGGTAGGGCCACAGAAGGCTTGTTGCAGGTACAGGAAAGGGTAGGGAGACGAACCACTCACACGCTGGACCACCATGGTGCCTCCGCCATATGGGGGCTGGGTCCCAGCTATCTCCTCAACATCATGAACCACCATGGTGCTGACGCTGTCCGTATCTCCATCACTGCTGTGGGAAAAAGGAAGGTGGGGCCTTCCAGATCCTGCCTGCCCTACAATGCCACAGGAAGCAGATGACAGCCAGAGACTTGGGCTCTCAGTCTTGTCTAAAGTCCTCACTGACTCAGATGTTTTCTGAGTGGCCCTCAGGGCAGGCTGGCAAAGAGACAGAGGAGCATCTGAAAGGGTCCCTGAACCCAACAGAACAGACGAGGTGGGAAGCCAGCACACTGCTCCCTCCAACTTGGCACAGCTCCACCCCCTCCTTCCCTGCATCTCTCCTCTCCTTGTCCTGGCGAGGGACACCCTGCCCTAGGACACCCCATACCGGCCCCCGGGAGTGTCTCTGCTCCCCTCTGACGGCTCCCCATCGCCTTCCTCGTGGGCATCTTCACTGCTCTCCACCTCCTCACTGGATGAGGAATAGTCCATGGCTTTCTTGGGAGGCCTCGGGGCCTCATCCAGGGTCCGCTCTTTGAGCAACACAAAGTCCTGCAGGGGAGACGTGAGGGACCAAGTGGGGCTTAGGCAGAGGCAATACAAAGGCTGCCAGTGGAGCCACAGACTGGGGACAAGAGAGGACTCCCCAGCAACCCCCTCACTAACCTCACCGATTGCTCGCTTATAGCTCTGGGAGGGGCCACAGAGGAGGAAAGGCAGCCAGGAGGAAGCAGGAGAGACGGTGAGAAGGTTAGTGACCTGCGCTGTGCTGTGTAAGACCTGGAACTCCCCTCATCCTCTTACATCAGTGAAGGATTCCAGTGCCCAGGACCCTGAAGGATCCACATCCCACCCCAGATGACTCACTGCGGGCCGGCCTGGCCTCGAACGGTGGTCTTCAGGCTTGGCTTTATTCCCAGGGGAAAGCACTGGGGAGCTGTCCAGTTTTGTGGAGGCTGGGCAGGCAGGGTGGGAGAAAGGAGGTCACAGAGACCTATGAAGTGGCCCCAGGCCCATGCCCTGGGCTGACCACAGGCCCCAAACCCACACACATCCCTCTTGTCTCTGTGGTATTTTGGTCCTAATCCACTAAAGGCCACAGGCCCTGCTTTCAGTGTTGATCAACACAAAGTCAAGGCCCAGAGCAGGCTTAGTTAGGCCCCGGCTGACATACCTCCCACACGGTTTCGGTTTCGCTCCAGTGAGCCAGCCTGAGGGAGGTGTCCATGAGAGGCCGGGAGGACACTGTCTGAGCGCTCCC